AATATAAATACACATGCATATATACATGTGTGTGTGTGGTGTGTTGTGTATGTATATATTATATATATAATATAAATAATTATTATATATATATATATATAAATATATATTCACACACATACATATATCATAAATACCATACTATGTTGTATGTACATAAATGCTAAGTATGAAAGTGCATCCAGTTTTAGGTAACTGTTGTGGAAATGTAAAATGCGCTTTTCAGTAATTAAATATAATGAAAGACTGAAAAAATAGTCTTATGTCACTGTACCTTCTCATCTATGTATCTCTCTCTGGTTTCTCTCTCAACTATTTACAGTTTTCTAGCCTTGGTTACAGTGATCATTAAGTTTTACACATTAAAACTCATTCCTTGTACTTTCTTAGACAAAAAAAAAAAAAAAAAAAAAATGCATGTGACAATAATTTCCGTAACAACTTCCTCTTTTTGCAGTGGCTTTTCAATACATTTAAATACAGTACGATATTATTTCGAAGCATTTGGAAAAGACTGGGCGTTCGAAACCACCTTCGCAGTGTCTGAACTTCCATTGCTCCCTAAAAAAAATTATCTTTCCGTACCGTTTAAGTGATTCAGTTAACCGATGTCTAAACTCCTCTCAAGAATCACACTCAAAGTATTCTTAGCAGGATGATTGATTAATTATTGAATTAATTATCTAGCGCGGCAACAGCTGAGGTCCTTAGCGGCGAATATATTGGTGCATACGAAGCACGTATTATGTTTAAGTATCATATAAAAGAATTTACGAACTCTTCGGATTTTTTCTTATCTACTTATCATTAAACCACCACACACGTTTTTTTTTTAGATCATCTATTTTGTATTTAAAATTACCAAAGATAACATAATAAACCAAAATTGTAATATACATTCATTTGAACACATATACGTGCATGCACACACGCATATTCACATAGACGACTCTATGTATGTGTTATTGTATATGTACAGATAGATCCATAGACATATACATACATACATTGTGTATCATATGTATCATGATGCCATATAGATCTACATAAATTTATAAATACGTAAAATAACTACCTAAACCTCGTTCCGGGATTGTGCTTATATTTACTTTTTTTCTTATTGTAGTTATATTAAAAATGCTTTCGCGTTTGCCTTTGCTTGCGTACATATATATCTGTATGGATGTGTGTATACAGTGAGTATTTGCAGATACGTATTAATGTGCATGCATCTCCGTTAACATGGACGTACAATTTTATTTGAGGTCGAGTGTCTAAATATGTACGGTATATAGCGAGACATCTGTGTGTGTGCGTGTACGTTTGTGTGTGGGTTTGCCCGCTTTTGCATGCGTACATATATATCTGTACGTATGCATATAGAGTATTTATATACAGGTACGTATTGACATGTATACATGACCTTGTTTGAAGTCCTATATAAATATGTACAATACATTGCGATATACAAGTGTAGGTATGCGTGTTTGCGTTTCTTTGTAAGTGTGTGTGTGGGTTTGTGTGTGTGTCCGCATTTATGTTTATGGACATATTAGATATTTTTATATATAATGACCTGGAAAGCACTACGCGAGTAGCCTTGGCTGTTGTCCTGTGACGTATATAAGGCGTGACTCCTTGCTGTCGACGCATAGTCTTCGCTGAGTTCACAGCAAGAACATTCAACATGAAGCTGGTGAGTACATACGTAATTATGAATATATGACAATGATCATATGGGTTAATTATTATTATTGTTATTTATGCTGCTTCTTGCAAAGTATTAGTTGCATAAATTATGTAATCATTATTACCATTACCATTATCGTCACTACTACTGATATTACTACCAGTAGTAGTAACAGCAGAAATATTAATCTTTCGTTTCATGCGAGGCATTACCTTGAGATCGCTTCCAAATCAAATCAATAGGTCTAATAAAAAATAATAAAAAATGCCTTTATCACATTTTTCACCTGCCTTTCTTTTTATGTCTTCAGATCTCGATGGCTCTGGCCCTGGTGGTGGCCCTGGCATGCCTGGTGAGCTGGACCAGCGCCATGCCTCAGCCTGACCCCGTAGCTGACCCTGACCCCGCGGCTGACCCTGGCTTCCGTCGCTTCGGTGGATTGGGATATGGTGGATACGGCTACGGAGGTCGTGGCTACGGGGGCTACGGCTACGGAGGATATCGCGGTGGCTTTTACGGATAAAGATATCCTACTTCCCGCTTTTGAAAAGAACATCCTAAACAATGCTACATGAACTTAACTTCCTGTTTTTCTTCTCAAATAAACTTCATGAATCAATGTTTCGAACTATTACGATCCTCGAAAGTGTACAAGAATTTGTACATGCAAATATGAATATGTATCAAACATAAAGTGTTTTTTAAAGAATTATGAAAATATCCATCTTGAATTCTTCCATGACCTAGAATTCATAATCTCAAAATAATTTTTTGTTTGTTTGTTTGTTTGTTTGTCTCAGCTGGTAAGTATATATATAAACAGGAATATATAACAATTATGACAATGACTCATATGGATAAATCGCATGCCTATTTCTCTATATTTACTACCTCTCATTATAGTCTGTACAGATCTCAACACAGATGGATATCAGTATAAGTTGCAAAATTGCTACTAGTAGAAGCAGTAGTATTTATCTTTCAAATTACATGTAAAATTTCTAATGAAGAGAATTTTTCGTTTCTTGCAAATAACCTTTTTTATTCCATATCTACAGCTTTCGATGGCTCTGGCCCTGGTGGTGGCCCTGGCATGCCTGGTGAGCTGGACCAGCGCAATGCCTGACCCCGTAGCTGACCCTGACCCCGCGGCTGACCCTGGCTTCCGTCGCTTCGGTGGATTGGGATATGGAGGATACGGCTACGGAGGTCATGGATACGGGGGCTACGGCTACGGAGGATACCGCAGGAGCTATTATGGTTGAAGATAACCTTGACACAGGACTCCTACTTCCATATCTTGTAATCGATCTTGAAAAGAATGACAAAAATCCATTTCCTAATTTCTTCTCAAATAAACTACATAAACGAATGTTTAAACTTATAAACCTCACTGCCGCACTTATATATACAAATAGGAACACAATCCTCGTGTTGCTGAGAACTGAAAATATTCATCACGATTTTCCATGATCTATAACTCAAAATCATGGATTAATGTTTCACTTCTGTCAGTTTCTGTTACTGCAAATTATGAAAAAAAGATTGGTTGACTGTACGTACATATGTGTCTGTGAATAGACATATATATGTACATGTTTATATAGATATAAGAGTATAAATGCATGCGTGCG